TTGCAGCGGAAGGAACCATTGTATAATCCAAGATGGCCTCCACCTCGGAGAGGATTATTATTGGCTAATACGAAGCAAGAGGCCCCGCCTTGGCTCACGGCTCGTGACGGGATGATTTATTGGGATTTCTGTCTGTTCGCCCCTGCGCTGCAACGAACACCGCGTGCCTAGCTCGGTGTGGTATCTAGACGGTAGGTAGGTATGGTATGCTTGGATTTGCGATATTGGATTTCGACGAGATCTCGACGAGATGCAGCTGCAACCGTCGTCATCCCTTCACCAGAGGAGACCGGACGGACGTCTTCATTCCTTTCCACGCGTGTCTCCACGTGCAGTCCGGCACATGCCTGCAAGTGTCAATATCCAGATTCAATTTGAGAGCTTTCGCGCGAAAGTCCTCTTTTCGTTTGCGCTTTTTAACGGAGGAATCGCTTTTCCCGAGAATGTGTTCTTCCGTTTGCCTCCACGAGGTTTGTGCGAGGAAATTTGCGAACAATTTAGGGAAGCACCTGTTGAACTGAAATTGCATGATGCACCCTAAAGCATCGATGATTTCAATTTGCGATATTAGAAGAATAGAACACCTAAACGATCTTGCTCGCTTGTAAATCATCGAGATAGGCAAACAAAAGGATGAATATTCAGTTTCTTTTTTTAATGAACATATTTAGATAACATGTGAGAAATAGTAGCAAAGGCAATTTGGATATCTCCTACTTGAAACGTGAACTTTGCATACAACGCGTCCAATCCTGATTTATATGCACTTTGCTAATGCAGGCAGCATAATCGACTGTAGTGTCAAAGTGTACTCTTTTGTACTAATTTACGTATGTACCGTTGCTCGTCCTGTGTGATTAAGAACACTAAATACAGATTGATCGATCGCGTTCACATACATATATCTATATACTCGTTCGCCAATTGATGCTAATATCAATCGCGTCTGCCACAAGAGAGACGCAAGGTAAGTATAATTGGCGGAAGTCTCGTAATGTTATCACATTTCCGGAACTGGGTAACGAATCCAGGTCACGCGAAAAGGAAGAATTCATCGGTCGGGTAAGTAACAGATTACATATGTGTACCAGTTTAAGGCAACGGAATATATACACGGTGACCTTTGCCAATTCGGCTGTTGCAGGTGCATCCACGTTGTTGCGAACCTTGCACGAGGTGAGGACGAAAGAGAGAACCCTGCCATATAGGCGCAGAACGAGGAAGGGGGAAAGGAACGAGGGAGTCGGAGGAGTAGAGACCTGGCAAGATAGAGGAGCCGGTGGGAGGATGGCGGTTAGAATTTATGGCCGCTTTATCACTTTACCGGCCTTGCCGCGTCTCCTTTAGCCGTGAGGAGGGCAGGATCTCACGATGAACTTTGGCACTCGACTACGTTGCACTCGACGAGCGGTGAGCCCGTTAACTTTCTTGTTTACTCGCATTTCGCGAGAGATTACAAGTACACCTGTTTTCTCTCTCTCTCTTCCTCTCTCTTTCTCTATCTTTTTCTCTCTTTGTTTTTTCCTATTCTTTTCAAATTTAACTTATTGCCTTGCAAATGTGCTTCAACTCCAGGATAACTCGGCGAAAAAAAAATTTTTTTATGTATATAAAATCTTATATAGCAAATTTAAATACGATGCCGAATAGTAATTTTCAAAAAACAGGTATTGGAATTTTCTATCGAATAAATTAACAATTTTTCTAAAGAAAAATATTTGAAGAAAAAACAGGGTTACACAGTTGGTGCAGAACAAAATTAATTTTAACGAAAAAAATTTTTTTTTTCCTATTTCTCTTACAAGCAATATGTCAATTCGTAAAACAAAAAAGATGGATAATATCCGGTTAATAAATTTTTGAATCGTGTTAATCAATATGCAATTGCGCGGCTTTAGGATGGGAAAGATAGAAGGGGAAGATAAGACGCCGCGCCTTCTAGTCTGTAGAGTCTGCTAACCCTACGTCTACGATCTAAATTTATGTCTTTATATATTTAGTGCGGTACGTGCACCCTGGCCTCTTCCTCTCACACACGCTTCATTATACTTATACATTCCGTTTAACGGGCGGATTTTAATTTACTTGGTCTATCCATCGGCGCGGGGGAATTGTTTCCCCCGACGGGGTTAACAGGAAAAGTGGCGCCGACCGAATCCGACGAATATCTAGTGTAAACACATTAATAACCGGGTCTCGCGAGTGTGTAACTTATTGCATACACGGCGTTCCGTGTGTACGGGGCCTCGTAAAATTTACGTCATACTACCTGTCGGCATGACGACTACAACTACATAACGCATAAAGTAACCCCCCCATTAATAGACCATAAATTCTATCCCCGCAGCGCCACCGTTGTTATGTATGAGCGTCGTTAGTGTTAATAGAGTGTTAACGGCTTCTATGCCGCTCTCGATTCTGTCCAGGACGTAGGTGACGGAGGTGGTGATGTAGGTAGAAGCTTGACACAGAGGGGAGAGGAGAGAGAGAGAGAGAGAGACGGACCAAAGTGAGAGAGAGAATGGTAAGCGGTTGCTATAGAGGAATTCTGGTTGCGTGCTGCCCGGCTACTATTAGCCTCGTGCTTCTGCTATTTTGCATAGAGAATGCATCAATTTTCGGCGCTTCCCGCTCGCTGACCCCCTCCCGCTCCCTCTCACCCCCTCTAGCTGCCTATCGCCACCTTCTACGATTTTGTCTCCTCTCCTCTGTCTCTCTCTCTCTCTCTCCCTCTGTCTGGTCTATCCCCGCCCAATTTCCTCTGCGTGTCACAATAATCGTACAACACGTTGCTATTATGTATGATGTAAATCGTAAATCGAAGATAATTGATATCGCAACGTCTACTTCCCTGGAAATGCCCGTAGACCCGATAGACGCTCGTTCATTCAGGCTCTGACTATTTCCGCTGACGTTTGCTTCCGTTGGCTGATGATCGGCTTCGATTTTGCCCGATGAAGATATTCGATAACGTATAGACAATTACCGGGAGTTTATGGAGGTTTAAGCGTCCGCGTTGCAGGGCTCCCTTATATGAGGCAAGATTAGGAAGGAATTTAACACAGACAACAGGGCTCTCCCGGTTTTTTATTTGCACAGATTTTGGATTACTTATTGCGTGATACATTTTATATACAGTGATAATTGATAAAATTTTTTTATTCTGTAAAACACAATTTTTATCCTTAATTTTATTGGCTATATGAAAAGAATTACACGGAAAAAAATGTACGAAGGGGTATTCCGACTGTTTTTGTAATAATTTTGGGAAAAAGTTTATTATGTAGTTCACCCTCAGGTGTAAACAGTATTGTGTGTGCTTCGGGTGGATCATTGTGTGCTGCGGAGAAGCCCGTTGGATATATAACGTATAACGGGACATAAATCAATAATATCGCTACCCCCTCTCCTTTCTTCCCTCCCTGGGATACGCTCACTATCCCCCGAACACCGTTACTGCCCTGTAAACCGCCAAGCGAAGCCGGCATCTCTTTCGCAATCAATGTTCACGTCTAAAACATCACTATGTATGATCTCTGATCTATCTCCCGGATTAATATGTATATGTCTACTGAAAACAGCTGATTCGATTAATCCATTGATTTATTTCGACTAAGTATGCATACTCGTGATAATGTCATTATTAAATGCGCATCCCCTTGAGACGAGATACACAATATGGATAATTATGAATTAATTATACGGTATTATTATCTTACCTAGGGTGGAATATATTTTTGCACATGTCAAATAATTCGGATCAAATTTAAGAAAACATATCCTGATATTTCTAATTTTCGAATTTATATTAATTTTTTGTTTCGCATTACGAAGGGGTAATGAGATATGTACGACTTGACATTTGTCAAAAGCGTTAATGCGAATTTATTTCGAGCGCGCGAAGCTAACATTTCTATGCGTGCTTTAGGAAGTTTGGGTCCGGATATACGTCGCCGATATAGAAAGGCTAAATGCAAAACCTTGTAAGGGGAGAGACTCGCGTACTCCGAGAAACTAACAAAACATCCTCGCAATTAGCCGGATGTCCCGATGACATCAACGGGGCATCCCCCGGGAGACCGCCAACCGTGCTACGCGTAGCCTCGCGACAGAAATTTCGCCGCTGCGCCACTCTCTTCGGGTTCCCTACTTCCATTCCCCACATCTCTCTCTCTCTCTCTCTCTCTCTCTCTCTCTCTCTCTCTTTTTCTACTACGAGAGCAGAGAGTCGCGTCGCTCTTCAGCTTCAGCCAAGCGGCCTCTCGACGGGATTCCAGGTGACGACGTCGCGCTCCATACCCAGATACATACGCAGATATGCTAAATAATAAAAACTTATCGAATTTATGTCGTTCAGAATTGGATGACACGCGGGCGACGAAGGGGTGGAGGGTGGCCGGGGGTAGGCGCTCGTCGAATGAAATTGAAAAGTAGCCGGGAGATATGGCCCTACCGACGAATATCGGTAGACAGACGAATGGCGTGGGAATGAGCAAGGGGTTGGAACGAGTAAACGGGACATGAAAAACTGCCGCGCGGGGGCTGATAGACTGAAAAGTGTTTGTTCGACGGACGGGCGTTTTTTTCAAATCTTTCTCACTCGGGGTCATTGGGATGCATTGTACGCGAGAGATTGGCGCAAATACATTCGACTCTCTCTCTCTTTCTTTCTCTCTCCCTCATTGTTCCCCCGTTAAAAAATATCGCGATCTCGTGGATTCAATAAACTTTTGCGAGAAGAACCAGGGTGTGACGTAAGTAGTATATCGCGAATATAAATTGAGAGGATTCTGTCGAGGTTCCTTTCTTTTTGCTCACAATACTATTGATTGATTAGGCACACATACTTTTAATTATTTTTTTGCAATGATTGATGCATCGACTCCTTTATCTCACATCTGTGTTTTTCTAATTTTGTGATTAGTTTTTCATAAAAATAATTAAAATTATTTAATGTCTAACAATAAAAAGGAAATATGTCTTCTTGTTTCAGATTCAAATAGATGGCATTCATCAAATATATTATCATGGATTTCAACAAAATTGTTATATCGGCTTGTTGGATGAAAATGGATGTTCTTTCGTCACAAACCGCATTATACGAATAAATCAACGTGAATAATGATGTCCTAATAGCACTACATGCTATTTGCGATCTATCGTTTGAATGGGTGACAATTCAAAGTTGGCGAAGACACAAACCAGTTCTGGTACCAATACAATTTTCCGTCATAATTACGGACAAACAGTGTTGTCGTCTCGTCAAAAACATCAGAGACAATTTAAAGAAAAAGAAATAAAACAAACAATAATAAAATACAAAAATATTCTTTTACCGATTACAAATCGAAGAGTCCAGATCACGTCAAAGTCAGTCAAGGGGGTTGAAGCTCGGCTAACGCGACAGAGTATGACGCTCATCGATGATGGATCCGATTGAGAAGCCCAGTGGTCGAACAATGCCGCAATTAAACGATACAATCGTTACGTTGTTCATTTGGACTGCAATTTGAAACTGGCGCCTTTTGAAGGAGACCGGCAACCATTAGACTACCCCCCGTGACATTCGAGGTAGAGTATGATGGTTCCATCGAGTAGGTAGTGCCTAGACGGGGCTCCACCCAGCACTTAGTTTACGTCGCGATTGCGGCCCCGGGCACGACCGTTTCCAGGGTACAGTCACGCCCCTGCCATGCGAGTACTGTACTCCCATTCGTTGGCCCATATCTCATCTGGTCCATCGCATTAGCCTAATCTGCCAGCAACGTGAACGGAGGAAAAAAAGTAAAAAAAAAAGAAAAAAAAGTACGGCCATATCGACGTTGCCACTGACGAGAGAAATCGTGGCGAGGTGCTGCCACCTTTGTGGCAGGATCGCGAGGTTGACCGGTTGTAGAATCGATCGTTTTTTTTATTCTTCTCGCAAGCAACATTGTCTCACCCTCATATTTCGACTAGTAGTTCGATTTTATTGTCCAAGTGTCTCCGACGTTAATATTTCCCATGCAGTTCACAGTTTGCAGTCGGACCCTGCTTTGCGTCGGCTGGAGACCAGAATCTCTTCCATTTGACCGTCTGACTCGCAAGAGGGACCATTGGAATGATAGGTAAGAAGAAACTATACTCTAATAATAGATTTACATGCTGTATATTAAGTTGAAAATCAAGATTCTACTATATACATTAATTGTAACTCATCAAATGTTTAAACGTAGCAAAATTCTGTTGCAAAGATGATATTATTTTAGTAGTAAGAGGAAGAGATGATAGGGAGAATTAAAGTATATAACCAAAATCTTTTGAGAATATCACTAATTTGTTTCAAATAAATTTTTTTCTCGGTAGGAATGTTGCTAGTAATTTTGGAGCAATTTCTTAAAATTTACTTGTAGAGGCCAAAATGATTAATAAAGTCAAATATTGGTTTTATTACAATATTCAATTAAAACGTTTTCTGTTACAGTTTATTTCCATCATCGAAAATCCATTGCAGTTGCCGTCACGTTGCCAAGCTGCTGATGCTGCAAATTTTGCTCGGGAGCTGCGGGATTGGTAAGTAATCTGATGCATGAACAAAAAATGTTACTAATATAAATTTTCATAGTATCTTTCTCTCAAATCTTTTTCCAAAAAGTTGCGCTTTTTATCTATTTGTTTGAAAAATGTTTCTCCTGTGCTTGATGTCGTTTTATTAGTATCGCGTTCAATTAGAAATAATTCAGAGACTATACTTGGAACACGAAATGTAATAAAATTAATGAAGACCGTGGAAAATCGCTTTAATTATCGTAAAAACCATTACACTTGTTTTTAAAGTAATATCCCTCGAAAGTAATGCACTTGCGCGCTTTAGAACAAGATTGGGTAATTTTTTGTCATCTTTATTATAACGTCTTATTATTACGACTGTATGTACGTTTAAAACATTCTTGAAACGCTATACAATCTTTAAAAGCCTCAACTTTTTAATCGAAACAAAAACACAGTTACACGAGGCGATAAGTCTGGGAAATAAGAGAACACATTACGATCTTTTTTAGCCATAAATATTCACGAAAACGCCGAATGAGCAAACGCATTGTCATGATACACGGTCGCGTTTTTCCTATATCACTAATTTTAAAGTTATAAAATTAATTTCTTTTTCTTCGCGCCGTATCTCGTACAATAATTTACTAACGTTGCCTCTCAAATTATATATATAATTTATGTATTATATAATACATACTACTTTAAATAATATATACTTAAGCACAATACGTGTTGCATTTGTAAAATTTTTGCATCGCATTTGCTTTCTCTCTACTTTATCTTTATTTGAATACTTTTTAATAAGAAATAATATTGATCCAACCGCGAAATATTTGGAATGTGAAAATTCAGAAAAATTCGCGATGCTTTTCCCTGCTCTTTACACTTTGCGATGCGTGTCATACGGTTGCCAGATTTTATTAAAACTGATAAAGTTATATTATAGCGTAAAAAGATTTTGTGCATACGTACACACACGTGTAACTTTTTTTTTTGTTTCGTCGGTTCCATGCCTCCACATATGCTATCTGCGAACTTGTGTGGATATATATTACGAGGCATAAATTTTCGTTTCATTTAAAAATACGTGACGCAAAGTCAGAAAGTCCTGGTGCGCACAGAAGCGCACTATAGTAGCTAGTAGAAACGTATATGGAGAAAAAAGCCAGATGTCAACGAGGTATGCGGTTAGGTCGAATATTGCACCGATTTTCGGGGTGCGCCATAAATTGCTCCAGTTTCCGAAAGAAAGCCGCAACACGTGTGCTTATTTTAAACGGCGCGCCGTTTGGAAAGTTTTCTTTATTGCAGAAATGCCTCCGCAGTTATTGTTGTCGAGGTTGAATAGGCTAAGGTCGAAAGAATAGGCGAAATTCGTAGGTAGAATTTTCCGACGTTACCCAATATGGTATCAATTTTCTCCATCAATTTCGACGAAACTCATTAAAATGCTACCGAGTCGTTTTCCATGGATGATATCTTTGCATAATTTTATTCATTGAAATTGCATAATGTTCTAATTAAATCCACATTTCTTATAAAACACATGTTCAATGTTTTTCTTATCAAATCTTAAATTGAAGAAAAACGATCGAATTATCTGCAATTGTGTAAGTATACCTTTCATTAATTTGCGCGTATCACGCAGATATCATTTCAGAAATATTATTTAGTCAAGATTGAAAATTTAAAATCTTTTGTTTGTATTTTATCAGACTGTTCCATTCGTGCAATACTTACTTAACAATAATAACATTTTGTCAAATATAAGACACAAGTCCAATAGATGTTATATTTTGTTCGTTTATTTAGACGATTCGCTTATTTTTCAACGTATCGTCCAATTTGATTGTTCCATTGAGTTAATTATATCGGCCTATTCACATGTAATCTCTGTTCTAACAATGTTCATAAGCACAAGATTAATGACTTCTTAATGATTACATCTTTCTGAAGCATCGTCTGCCAAAATATAACTTAATTTTACATGATGGATATATTGGAGTTCTTTTGTAACTCATAGATATTTGCACAGTGCTATGCAATGTGTAATATATGAAAATCCACTTTGACAAACGCTGAAAAATTATTTTTTGTATGCCTCCTGATTGTGTCAGAATGTCATTTGCAAGTCGCGAAATTGGAAAATAGAGAGATTGGATGAGATTTGAAAATATAAATATGTACGTACATTTATATGATATGCAAGCACTAACATGAAACATTGATGATATCGTTTGATATCAAAACAAATTCAGAATATGTGAGCAGATTCTAAGTTAAAATATGGAAAAAAAATATTTAAAATAGTTACTTTTTAAATTAATGTTAAAAGGGGGACAGGCAACTTCAGATACTCTTCATAAACTTGATTATAGTCTGTGATACTTATATCATTAACTATAAGTTAAGACAAAAAATTTTCAAAATAAACTTTCGTTCACGAGAAGCACGTTGTAGCTTAGCAACTGTATAACCTTCAGGAAACTTTATATGAATCTTTAATGAATACTTCATAAATCTACTTTGCGATTATGCATGTTGCGTGTCTAATCATATCGTGCGCGATGTAATCAGATAACGTGTTTTACAGGTAATTTTATATTGTATTTTTTATTTATGCTTAAATTTTGTCTATTGTCTCGTCATTCGCGAAAAGAAATTTCGCTTTTGCATGTTAAAGTAATTATAATTGAGAAAGGATTAAAATTAGTCTGTAATCTTTTTGTGTCTTGTAAAATGTTTCCCGTCGCACGGATTGCTATATCCGTATATTGTATCTGAGCAAACGAGGCTGTAAAAATTCGATTAGATAATTTAATTTAAAATTCAACATTGTGACTATCTTATAAATATTTATCTTGTAAAAAAATGTTCTCGCTTTCTTGAAACATTGTCGTAGCAAAGACTAATCCGTAAATGAACTTTACGCATGGTCTTACTACCTTTATGTTTGATATACGGAATAGTTTTGGCCTCTCTCATGAAAGCCCTAAAAGCGCCGTAAACTGGCAGTTGGCTTGATCGAGTGTGAAATCGAGATAGAAACTTGGAAAGTTTCTGAATCGAATTATCTTGCGAGCGAAATTCATTGAAGTCTTCGTAGAGTAAAGCTGCTAAAAGGGAAACAACGAAGCCCTCGTCAGTAATTAACAAAATGCTTGATAAACATAACGCAGAAGAACTAGATCGCAATTTACGCGCGCACTTTTTCTTAATTATTAAAATACCGAGCAGACTTATAATTACAGATAGCATTTCTAATGAAAGTGTGAATCTGCGCTTTAATTAATACGTTAGTTTAATTATGCAATTTTCATTATAAAAATATTGTAAAGAAAAGTTTTTATCGCGGCTTTTACATTTTCTTATTTTTACTTTAAATTATAAGTTTTCGACAAAGAGAAAAGCATTCAAATATTCATTAAATAAAATATCTCATAATATATTATTGAAAATACATATTTTTTATTCATAAAATATAGCTCATAATTATAATATCTGTACTTTATAAGATGTCAAAAATATATAGGAACATGTAATTAAAATATTATTGAATATGTCAATTACGTTTGCAAAATATTATTACATGTATGATAAATTATACAAATTGGGGACACGTCAGTGAACAGTAAGAAAGCGAATATACGAAGATATAACGATGTAGCAATTGCATGAAATACTCTTGTTTATGCTATGACCATTATTGTTCCATATTAAGAACAATTTCTTCTTTTGCGACAAATAGATGGTTCGAAATTCCTGTATGATTAATCCGTTTATGTTCGTGTTTCTATCTTCTTATACTTCTTCCGCGTTCATCAATCAATATTTAGCGAAAGTGCTGGAATTACATAACTATTGATCGTGTCGTTTATTTCCTTTTTTTCGATTCGTATCTTATTGGAGATATAAGTTTGATTGCGACTTATATATTTCTATAGAGCTCGTCAAAGGGTGAGAAATCTCTGTCATTTGATTGTATATTCGAAGTGCCGTTTGAAATGATATTTACTATTCAATTATTAATGTTATGATATGTGGGGAAAATATATATATAATATTTGAAATTTCTTATACTATAATATTTTTATATTGTAGAATTTCGAGTCTTTTTTTAAACAAAAATTGATTTTCTAATTTATCGTTTGATAAATGAATATAAAATCTGTTCAATGTTTCTTTCTTGGTTCAAGCTTTTTCTCGATAAATATTAATAGAGAACTGTAAATGTAAAAATCATAATTAAATTCCAAATGTTGGAGGAAGAATCTGAAAGAAAATATTTTATCATTATTTTCTCGATATTATATTAAACATCAAAATTCAGTAATACTATTTTATGTTGACAGTTTTACAAATAATTTACTATTTATATACCATACTGAAATTAATATAATAATTCTATAAATATGATAAAATTTATATTATTTACAATGTAAATACATTTTTCTCGGTACGAAAAAAAGTATTAATAATTTTTTTTTAATCCAACTTAACTACGCGTACTAACATTAAGATGTTGAATGATTAAGCTGTGCTCTCTGGCAAAATATATAGCGGCAAATGTAGCATGATTAATAGAAGATCGGTTTAAGACAAAATTTATGCACGATACTCTTTTGCCTGCTGGGGATATCAAAGCTACTGCGGACAAATAAATCCAGTCGCATTCCTTGACGATGAATTTCATTCGTGCCACGCACAGAAGGGAACGGGAGGTTTGATTCGTAGGGAACAGAATGGGTCGCCATGATGTGTCCGGCATCAACGTGAAATGACAAAGTGCTATACTAAATTAACGTTTTCGGTGGAGGATCATCAAGCGGGCGAACACAATTCTAATATCACATACGTGATATTTATTTTTATAATACTCGCTGTATAACACAGCGTCGCAAAAAAAAAAATATATATATATATAGAGAGAGAGAGAGAGAGGCGGCAACTTCCATTCGTAGATGCGAGTAACGCGCGATAACGATGTATAATTTTAAATATTTAATAATGCCATTATAAAA